CGTTCCATTTTTAAAAATGGAACGTTTTTGGAACTGTTGTTTTTTTTAATAGTCATTTCTCTTCAATTGTATTTGAAAGATTGATGGACATTTACTTTTCAGATGTCTTATCTTAAGGGTTAGGGTTTCCCATTTGATAAACTACTGTTTATGGACCAGAGAGAAATCTCTTTAACAGCCAGCTCTTACAGGAGAGATTAATTAGGACAAGACATTTACTCGCATGATTTTTCCTTCTAAGGATTTCTGTTTCTTTTCTTTTATAGATAACTCTCAGATCCAATTAATATAACAGCAGTATATTTGGAAAACCTGCCTTCTGTAACAAATAAATTTATTTCATTTTACATACTTGATACCTTTATAATTCAAATATAAAAATATCATAACAGCAACAATATGAAAAAGGTAGTATATCAATGGGGATTCAATGATACCTTATAACTTGAAATATTATTTAAGCTCTCATAATGCCTAAACAAAAATGAAATAGCTTTTAAACGGAATGTCTTTTGAGTAAGTTTGAGTGTTTCTTCTAATGGACAGTCAGGATTCCTGACCACTGGATTTTGGACATTTTGACAGCCTTTTAAGATACTTGAAAACCTGTGTAAAGTTTTGCTTCCCCAGAAATGGACAGTTCTTTAATCTTGCTATGACCTTTGATCAAATTCATTTTGAGGATTTTTGAAGCTTGGGGTAGGAGTGAGAGGAGGGAATCTTATTTGCTGGAGATGAAAGTATCATAGATCTGCTCACCAGGAACAACAGCAATTTTCCTCACAGGCTTCTATATCCAAGCTTCAAGGAAAAATACCTATCCTATTTCTCCAATACAAGTAATAGTAGTTTATATGCAGAACAAAAATCGATGCTGCAGTGGATTGATTGTTAAAAAAAAAACACATTTAATATAATGTATTGAAATTATTCTTTCATTATTGATTTCCAGGTCTTTGATTTTAGGCTTGCAAAAGAAGATATGGAATTGCTTGACTCCATGGACATCAACAGAAAGTTGGTCTATCTAACCTATCCAATATGGAAGGGATAACTCATGGAGTGGTTACAGAATAGACTGGCTGAGAACACGGTGACTTCTGGATTCCTCCAAGCTATTTACTTAATGCATTCAAAGCTAATGCAACTTAAGTACTTTTTGCACAAAGCTATCTTTCCTTATTAACAAATTATTAGGCTACTGTATGGGGTGTTCCCATTTCCGAGCTCTCACTAAAAGACTTTTCAGGAAGTTGCAAGTTACTCTTGAGCCTAACTAGATATGAATTTTAAAAAGTCATTGCTAAACTTAACTCGGCTGGAGCCCTGTTGGTTTTGGCTGTGTGTGTGAGACAATTTGGAGTTTGGAACTGTGTGAAAACGAAAATTAATGTAATTAATAATATTAATGTCTGATTAATATTTTGTTCTATCTACTCTTTTTTTGCATGGAGTTGAACCATAAATTACTATCACCCAATTTCAGTCCACTTTATTGTCAATAAACATGTTTAAACCAATGTTCCAGGAAGATTGATTCTAATCAAAACTGTTGTGAGGAACGGTTCACCGACAAATGCGCAATAGACATATGCACACCGACAAAACCGCGACGGACAAATGAGCGCCGTCAAAATCGCTAATTGATTTTCGACAATAGCGCGCCGACAAATGCGTGATGACAAAATCGCGTCATCAACAAACTATAGACAGCCCAGTGAGTGTGCTGGGTGTTTAACATAGTGGGACGCATATACATACGTTATAACGTACGTTATAAT